ACCAATGGTACCCTATGATAGTACGCGCTAACAAGCGTATTTTCAGACGTAATCGCGGAGTAGATTCAAAGGGCTTACGGGAAGAACGCTGAAGAAAGTTTAAACTATTGGCGGAGGTGCGTTGTCCGTTAAATAATCCGTGCTAACGTAACTTTAGCTATAGCATGAGCGCTTGTGTCCGCACAGAGTAGCCGAGCTGACCGTAGTAAACAATGAAATGAATCGTACTGCAATTCTGAAGCCAACATTGAAAACATTGCTCACGCCGTTCGTCTTCCAAAGATACTACTGCGAGAGATTGCGATCAAAAAATGCAATAAAGATATTTGAAAACAGTTTTTAAGGTCAAGTTTCGTTTTTTATTGATCGATAAAATTTGCATTAACCCTCGCTTTCCGTCAAAAGAAAGGAGAATATAGTGTTTTTCAAAGACAAGGTCTTTACAGTCAATTGTCCTCAACGTTTTGTGAGTGGCATCGCTCACAACAGTTCGCCTTCTATTAACAGCTATGCAAGCATTGCGTTCAACAAGTGCGATATGAAACAGCTTGAAATTCACGATAAGCGTCGTCCAGCCAGTTGTTGAAGGCAGCGAATGTGGCTATGAGTTACTCCCACCCCTCTCCAAAGTGGCTTTAAGCCGATCTGACACTTCAGGAGTAGAGGTGCACGTAGCTTACAGAGACTGTCCCACTAATTGAGGCGGCGCCAGATCATAAATAACCCGTTTTGTTAGCGGACATCGTAGGTTTAAGCCACAAGGCACATCAACCATACCTATGAGTAATATGTAGATTTTCTCTTGCCCCAAGGTCACGATCCTACTTGCTGATATACCCCATAAAGAGAATAGATATAAACGTCGGTACAGACGAACTCCTTTGCAATATATTTTTTTAGAGAAAGCTTGACTTTAGTATTAAGATTGAATTATCAAGACGCATTGTTTTGTTGTTTCATTGAAGAACACATGATTAAAATTGGCATAGGTTAAGTTACAGAAATATTAAAACAACAAAAAACAAGCACGTATGCCTTCAGCAAAAAAAAAAAAAAAAAAAAAAAAAAAAAAAACACTAACTGACGGTCTCAACTAAATTTTGTGTAACGCGGGGAGGAATAATGCAATATGTGCTGGTTAGTGATGAATTGGGCGAATTTGCAAATAAATTTGTATCTTTGTCTTTTAATTAATACCCCAAGAGGGGTCTGCCCAACTGCCCAATAACTTTATGAGAAACATATAGCGTGCTTTGTAATGGGAGACGACAAACTTAAAATACTTTCTTAATGGTGAATATAAACAAAAATCTCTCTTCGCTGCCGCTGTTTAAGTTGCCGTCGTTTTGTTGTTGTTGTCGTTTTTTTTTTTTATAACGCATATGTATGACTCATACCGCAAGTCTCGATATTCTACAAAGTGTTCAAAGTCAAAATACATAGAGGAAAAAGCAAGTTTTGTAATACAAACTATGTTTCTCTTATTTGACATTTTATTGGTTCTCTTAACCCAAATCGAGTTGAAAAGGAAAGGATATATATGCATATATATATAGATTGAAGTGAGCAATATTTAGGTTAGAGATGAGTCAACTTCTTTCCTAACAATATTTATTATAATTGCATTGGATTATCGTTTAATTGCATTTTCGATTATCGCCACAAAAATTCAACTTTATACCATACATTATTCCATTAGTAGTATTTTGTCATAACAACAACAAAAAAAGTGAGCATTAACTCGCTGATGTTTACATCGTGCACATGCTTGAATCTGTGCTCACATCGGGTATTATTTAAGCAAACAATTGAAAGCATGTAATGCGACTTTCGATTTCGGAGCAAGTTTTTCTTGATTTGAATCATTTTTTTTAATGCCGAGCATATTAACCTACAAGTGTTTGCGTTTGTAGTGCCAAACAATTATAACAGTGGCATGCTTTTCATTTCCATTTCCACTAAATGTCTCTCACAATCTCTTTTAAGATGACTTTTTTGCTTAAATTATTACGCCATCTGTTTAACGGTACTGTACACATAACTCCTCAACTAAAAAGAATCCTGTTCTCCAGTATATAATTTCATTTAAAATGATTCCGTATATCTTAGCAGGAAATGAAAAATTAGAAATTTCTTTTTCTCTTCTTATTAAGTATTCAGATAGACTTCCTTTGGACTTTATAGCAACCGCATGCGGCCATTAGCAGAAGAACATTAGTCCATAGAACCTAAAAGTGTTCATATATTTTTCATAAGCGCAAGTAACGAAATCCCCTTTGGATATCGAAAGTCAGGAAATTCGAATTTCTTTTCGCTTTTTTTTTCGTCAGATTACCAGTGAGTGTCAAATTTGATCTAAACTTTTCTCCAATTCAAAAATCAACTCAACGAAACGGTTTGTCGCAAGAAAATTATGTTCGACTTTGACCGAATCATTTATAACCAACATCGTTATTCTAAACAAAACCATAAAAAAGAGGAAGAAGCTAATTTTTCGTACTCTCTGGTATGGGATGGGCTTGGCTGATTTTTTCCATTTTTTCAGGATAAAAGTCAAAATTCATATCGTATGTGTCTACTCTGTCTGCCGATGTTTACGAGCTCTTTTTTTTTCGTTTGCATTATATGGATGTTCTGCTACCGAATAGAGATATTTTCAAACCTGACTGCAAAAATTTCCAATATTTCGAACAAGTTTGCAGCCGATAGCTTCGTTTTTTAATCAAGGGAAATGTTCAACCAGGGAGTAACACAGACGGACAAAGGGACAGACGGGCATGCCTAAATCGATTCACAATTGGCAACTGGCTCTCTAAAGCTTCCTTCTGCAAATGGCAAACGTTTTGACAATATGAATATCCCGCTTGTCCTTCGCTGATGGACATGAAAAACCTATAAAAAACTAGAATGGAGTGGGACATATTATGTTATAGATAGTTGGGTGTGGTCACCCTATATAAATGTTGCGTGGATGTAGGAAAAATGTACATGAGATATGATATCTAAGATGACATATTCAATATGAAGCATGGAAGCCATACTATAAGTTCTTAATCGACGTATGTCTGCTCGCAGAGCACTTGCTGAAATCGTAAAAGTGATCATAAAACATCAGTAAAAAACTGTTACTTCTCTTCAGCTATTGATTAGTACAATTAGATATTATGTAAGACGTTTTTAAATCCGCCTCTGAAGGATGGGCGTATACTTATTTTGACATAATCATTGCAGAAGTCCGTTAAAGCATATATGTCCTTGATATCCTTGACGTAATATTCTGATTCGATTCAGCCACGTCTCTGTGCCCGTGGGTCTTTGACATTTCCTTGATCGCAAGAAGTAAGATATCGACTTCGAATTTGGTATAAACATTGGAAGTTCCTGCACTCTGGTTGCGATTGAAAACGGGTCCAAAGCACAGCGTGAAGTGAACGTTTCTTCGAGCGAGAATATATGTTGTTTTGTTTATTATTACTTTGCAGAGAACCCTACTATTTATGTGCAAAAAAGAAATAAAATCGGCCATGTCCTCGCAGAGTGATTAAATTTTATTCTTCTTCATTTTTTTTGAGATCTTATACCCTTTAATCGTAAAGTAAACAAGAGAGAATGTTTAAAATTGCCTAGAAGTGCGTTCTAAAATAAATATGATAAACACTATCACGTAGTGCATTAATTTTTTTCATCACATAAAAGAACTTGGAGAGTTGAATTTCATCTCATTTTTTTATGAGCAGGAATAAAAGCCTGCCTGTTCTAAAGATTTTGATGGTGGCGGGTATGGGATGGGGAATTCGGCCCCAATCGAACTTTCTTGCTTTCCATTGCGAACATTAAAATGTCATAAAATCAAACTAATCCGTGTCCCGGATAAATTTTCTCCCTTGTGTAATTAACTATCTGATTAGTTGTTGGTCTTGTGTGTTATTTTGCGCGACGAAGGAAGAAGTACGGAACAAAAAAATTTAGCAGCTTTGTTGTATCATTCTCTTGTAGCTGGTTATCTTTCAACAATTTTAATAGACAATTTTTTCATCTCATCCAGGAAATTAAGAAGGGAAAGTTTGTGCATTGTACACTTGTTTAAATCAATTCTTGCATTCATTTACTCTGGGAGAAAACGTTAAACGTTCAGGGTTGCAATTTGATAAAAAAAAAAAAAAGTATCATTCTATGAGTAAATTAACGAACCGGTATAACTTAAGTTAAAGAGGAAGGAGGAAAGCAAACTGAGTCTTCTAAGCAGCGTCACATTGGCATCGCAAAGCGATGTCTGCAGGCCAACGGACCAAAAATTCTAATTGGACTTCGCTATTTTCATTTATTGTGTATATATTTTATAAGTTCGTTAAGCCTTTTCCGATAGGTAGTAAATGCAATGTAAACTTTATCATGAATATAATACCGGTAAAGAAAGATTTATTACTGAACAGGGAAAGATAGCAATGAATTCGTGGAAAACACCAATGCTATTATAAAAAGCTCCCCTTCTTTTGCAAACAGTAAAAGCCTTGTCTTTGAGTGAAGCTACGACGAATCTTCGCATTTCATTAGGCATTTCCTTTACAATAGAGATGGTTGAGTGATTATAGCTCTTATGCTTTTGTCTTTTTCGCTATTAGTATTTACGTAACTTTATATGTTTTTCTGCTGTTTTTCTTACGTAAGCTGACAAGTGTTTATGTTTTTTTCTTCTTTTCTAGAATTCTTACGTTTAGTCAATGACCAGAAACTACCAAACCAGTTTACACAATTAACATAGAAAAATAAAGCACAAAGACTTTGTTATACTAAATGATTGCTAGTGGAAAACCTTGAACTAGACCAACTTAATATTTTATTATTTTTTTTTTTTTGTTTTGCTATTAAAAGATAACAACAATACAATACAATCCAATGATTTTTTATGATAGCGGCTTTTAAGGTTGTATCATAAAATATCGCTATAGTGTTATCATAATAGAAAAGCTATAATTTTAAGACTTGTTCTTGCATCTTACCGCTTTCGGAGGTTATCCATGAATTTTTCCATAGTTATTTCATCCAGGAGCACAAAATCGCTCACACCGTTGTTTCCCTTTTGATGCATCGCCATTTTTTGCGTTAACACTGTTGTTGGTGTTGTTGTGTAGTAAATTTTGTTGGCAAACTTACGCCTTGAATAGCGCTTTTCTATTGGAGCGAAAACACGAAGAGGTCAAAAAGCAAATCGGAAAAAAAAAAGAATTTGGTCAGCATGCATTTAATGCCAACTTAATGGAGCGAATAAACAAATAAAAGCACAGAAGACAAAGCTTAATTTCACTGTCGTTTTTATAAACACACACATGCGTCCATATGTACGTAAGAGTTATTACTGGCAAAGTGTCGTTTTTCTTATTAAATTTTCAATTATTCCATTGTTTTCCATTCTCCGTTTATTACTGTTATAGCATATAAATCAATTTCACTAAATTTGTGCAATTTCCGCAATTGTTAATAATAAAAGAAAAAAACGCTATAATAAAAGTGACTGAAGCATTGAAATTACTTCCACACATACGCTCGTATGTTTATTTTTATGTTTATTTCGTGAAATCCTTAAGATCCACTTATTTTTGTAGGTACACTCGTAAGCAACAAAATATTATTTTACTCGACGTAACGAGCATAAATGACGAAATACAGGGAAACGATATAAAAAATATTGCTTAACAAACAATTATGTTTACATTCCACGCCTTTTTATTTTGCCTTGCATTTGTGTCTCTTATCAAAAAACGACTTGCTCAAATTTATTTTAACAAAAATCGCGTAAAGATTATTTCCAACACAACACAACACAAAGCGCGTGACGAACCTTAACAGCTCCAAAACTCCAAAACATTAATTTATAATTTAACGTATAATTATTATTCATTCAAAACTAAAAAAAAAAGAAAAAACATGAAATGAGTGTGCGCGTTACGTCGATTGTGAGTGTACTAAAAACAGCTGAGTAAAATTTTCTTTCTTGGCATCATTTATTCAATTTTTTATTTGCTGAGAATAAAATTCTATTTCTGTGAGCAAAATTTACTTTAGTGTACATTTCTTATGGATGCCACCGAGTGCCTTTTGACTATGCTGAGCATAAGATCGCATTCCTCAGAGTAAAATTCACTTTGCTGTACATTTCTTATTGACACCAATGAGTGCTTTTTGAGAATAAAATCGCATTTCTCTGAGTAAAATTCACTTCGCCGTATATTTCTTATGGGCGCCACCGAGTGACTTCCAACTTTAACGAGAATAAGTCAAGTAAACAATGCTCTCTCAGAGCAAATGAAATTTTACAAAAACAATGCTAGCGACAGTTGAATAAATGATGTCAAGCAAAAAAATTTCCTCTCAGCTAATGAAACAAATGGTGCTGCCACACTTTCATTCAATTTTTGTGTTAAGTGTTTGTCGTTATAAAATTGATAACTTGTATTTTTGTTGTTGCATTTTGCGCGCATGTATATTTGTTGCTATTACGTAGCTAATATTATTATTATTAATCTTTAGAATCATTACACTCAAAAATTTAATAAATTCTCTGTTTTAATTAAATTAATTTAAATCACATAATTTTTGCAAGAGGAAATTTACGCAGCATATTTGCCATCCACAATACAGCTTATATCCAAAAATGCCATCCACAAAACGTCCAATATCCCACAATACCATAGTGACTACTAAGAAATGACTAATAACCATAAACCTCACTAACCACTTGCATAAATTCTAATCAAAAATCTTCTTTATTTCACCTTATTTACTTATATTATTAATTTAATAGGAATAAATTAACATTCACTGTTATTATTTTTAAAAAACAAAAAAAAAAAACAGTCAAATCTCCGCCTAAAACTACGCTACAAAACAATGTTAAACGTAAGATAGCCAATAAAAATCAAACCTACACTAAAAGCGAAAAAAATAAAAACAAAAGATTTCCATTTTATCCAATCTAGAAAAATAGAGTTTCATTCAAATTAGCGCACATTACAAATATAATTTTATCAATTAGAGACTCAGTTGTCCGCTAAACCATTTTATAGTAATCTAGCAATTACTTCTAATGAATATAATTTCTTCGTATCCCTTTTCTCTTTTTCTCTGAAAAATTAGTTAAAATATAACATTAACCTGTCAAGTTAAAATTATTAATTATTAATATTTTTTAATTCCACAAATATTAGATGATTAAGTTTATTTATTTCATTTTCAATTAGATTTATAATTTTAATATAATCAATTATTACACCTTTAACCCAATTATTCCTAAATCAAAAGATTTATCAAATAAAAATTTTATATCCTTACATTGAAAATGATAAGGTCGGAAGATTACTTGGCGCACTTGGCATACATGAATAGGAGGAGTAGAGTAGAAAGATTTATGACTCGTAAATTCAATGCCTGAAATGCTTAAGTCCGATAATTGTAACTACAACTATCAAAATAATAAAACATACTAAATGGTGTCTTGTGTGTTCCTACTTACTGATTCGCACGTCTAATCAGAATCCTAAGCAGTAAGAAATCACTTACATGTGGGCGAATTTTTTAATATCTATCATTTGCCGGCTTTATAATGCTTCCAACCAACAATCAATTATTTAATATGCGCGTATCCTTACATATATATATATATATATATATTTATGATGGTAAATTATATATAGCATGACAAATATAAAATATAGTACGGAAAATATACAATGTTGCATATCGTATTTTTAAGCAATTTACTGGCAATTCGTTAAAGCATTGCATTTCTTTTCCTTCTATTGAATATGCAATGGGAAATTGTTCAGATCGACTTCGTAAGTCTAAAGAAAGTTTGCAAGTCTTCATCAAAAACACACACAAGAGGGCATAATCAAGCTTCTACGTAGAAAAGTTGAAATTTGTTTCACTATTTACACCAACCTAGAATAATAATACCCATTTCTCCTTAGAATATTTTCAAAATTTTCATACATTAGCGACTTTTGATGCTCCTTTTAGCATAACATAAGTATAAGTATAAGTAGCGCTGTTACATTTCGTTTTCTTATCATATGTTAATATTTACATACAAAGTCTGTAAAAAACTTCAATCAATCATATCTTGATAACAAATCTGGGGCGTACACACTTTTATGCTTTTACATACACCTACTCTTGCAAAATTACTTATATAATTAACAATAATACCTAATCTGCAAGGGGCTGAAAAGCCTTGTAGCGATAGCCTCCATTTTTCTTATGTTTATTTGTAACTTTAGTATTAGTGTAAGCAAATAAGTAAATACGCATACGCTCTGTTGTACGAAATGACGTAGTAAATATTATTTGTCCTCTTTTCGTCATTTGCATTGAAAAATTATAAATTTTATTTTCTTTCGATGTTTTTAAACCAAGATAGAGGATGAAATTATGGCATGAGTATTCTCGTTCACCGTCTGATCAGAGAACAAGTGTTTTTGGTGTTTTTAGATTATACTACGGATTGTTGAATGAAAATACCACTGAGGACTTATACCCTTGTACTTATTGGAACAGGTGATGTCGGTGCCGATATTTTTGCAAGAGAAAATTACGTTATAATTGGCTGCATTGGTATGGAGCAATACCAATATCGATATTTTTCAGTAAATATCTTCAAGAATGTTTAAATTACATAACCAAGCGAGACGTTAAGCAATCTGTGCGAAACTTTTGTAGAATGTAAAAATTATATCGCAAATATCGTATTAACAACAATCCGAGATGTTTTTTAAATATACTCATAACAAAGTGAACTGTGAATGTGTACACAGCAGAGTGACACATAAGTAATCATAAGTTAGGTGTTAGAATATCTTTGATAAGATTATTGAGATAATGAAAGATTACTTTATCACGGACGATAATGGCATTGAACATAGACGTCGCTGACTGGATTATACGTTAAGGGCGTTTTTATGCAAAAACTCGAAATTCTTGGCTCAGCAGCCTGCTAGAGCATACTTAATTCCGCAAGCTAGAATTACAGATAAGGCTTTAATATTTGATGAACATATTTGTTCATTCGTTATTAATTTATTTCCATAATTTAACTATAAAGAATTACGTACGACGTGATATAAAAACTGAAGAGTGCAACTTATGTGTGGGCCGTTCGTACCGTGATCCGTCGTACTGGTCAATGTTTTTGGCCCTCCCGTTTTAAAGTTGTTATGCATCCCGCCAGCTTCTTTAATCCGGAATGTTATTATATATTTGAAAAAATTATGACCCGTCGCCCATTCATAGCAACAGCAAGCAAGCAAGCAAGCTTGTGTGCTTTACCGGAAGATTCTATAAATCTTATTATTGACCTTTCCAAAGAAAGGTCATCCGTTGATATGCACGCCGACATCAACAGTGAAACGAAAAGAAATTATATTTTGTTTCTCAACTTGTGACGTCATGACAAGAAATTTGAATGGAATTTTCCCCATACAAACAACAATGGGTTTGGGTACAGCTCTTTCTGCTAAATTAGTAGGACCTGAAAAAGGCCTTGAGATGCACGAATAAATAATCTTGCCGGAATCGCAAGTTATAAGCGGAGATATGAAAAAATTGTCGGGATTTTTTTTGATGTTGTCTCAGTGTCTAATCTACTGGAGGCGTGCATGAAGATAGGTCACTCGTGTTTTTTAACCTCATATTATTAATCGATGAAGAAATATTTTTGCTAAATTTTAGTTCCTTATCTTCATTCTTGCGACTTTAGCGATGTTACAAATATTACAGATCAAAATAATCCATAACGGTAGAATTAAAAGAAAAACTTGATTATGGATATCTAAATATCTATTCATATAAATAAAAGTCGTTACAAAATATTGGAGCTTCACATGCTTTGCAACCATTTTTTTCACAAATTCAAAGAGGCCACCTTAAGTGACAGGTAGGTGGAGTTAATTTAGTATAAATGGGTTCATAAATAAAATGTTTTTTTTTTTTTTGCATCAGGGATGAATATATATTTTTCGAAAACCAAAAATCCCTAAAAATAAAATACATCAATTCTATGATAAACTAAAATAAATGACTACTACAGATATGATTTGCTATCAAAAACAATAATTGAATACTTGTTGTGAATAGCACGCAAAGTCTCAAATTTGCAATCGACTCAAATTATAGAACAGAAATTAACATAAAACAAGCACAAGCACAAGCAGAGATTGCCAAGTGCTTGGAAAGTGTACGCATATACATATAGAAAAAATGTAGAGTCTATTTTTTGTTATTCATTGTGATTTTCTCTACACGGTCTCGGGCAGTGTTGGTTGTATGTGAGCCGCCCGCATGACGGGGAACGCATTTTTTAAGATTAGCCAAGCCAGCGTTCTGGCGATTCATCCAAGCGTGCGGTGCATGAGGAAAATCATCTTTACGATAAAAGCCCATAATGCCCGATTTTCGTATCGAGCCCAACTCATAAGTGATCAATGGACTAAGAAGCACTGATGCGTGCGCATTAGGTAGCTTTGCAACTTTGGCCTTCTCCATAGATCGCATTACACAGGTCGTATCGCATGATAAACAAGCCAGATCTTGAAGAACCTTGATGCGAGCACCGGCAGCCGCACACTCATCGTTAGTTGAATCTATATAAGTTTGTAACATGTGCTGCAAATGATGAATTTCTTTTTCAATTTGACCCTTGAAAGTATTCAATATGCCTTCGATGGCCGCGAAGCCCAAGGTCTCTTTCAAATGTTCAATCATCATATTATTTTTTCTCTCGTTGTCATTAATTTGGCGAAGCATTTCGCAAAACTTTTTATCGATGCGGCATTGCAATTCGAGCATTTGATCAAGCGATACTTTGCGTTGCAGTTGATTGTAATCAACCTTGTCGGCGAGCAGAATTTCCAATTCAGATTTGTCCACCTTTTCTGCAAGCACATCTTCGAGAGTCGACTTAATCGTCTCAATATTATTTGCGTTATGAGAAATGCGCATTTCCATGCGATCTTGATTTGTCTTCAGATTAGTCGTAAATAACTTGACCTCTTTCATTTGCTCCTGCAGTTCTTGCGTACGCGCCACAGTTTGTTGACTTTCTTGCTTTAACACTCTCGCAGATACCTCATTCACTTTGTTGACCAATAGACAAAAGTCGCTTTTGAGTTCAAGCAATTGTTCGAGAAGTTTTTCGCCCGAATAACACAGATGATCCTCAATCATTTTTTGATCAGCTTCTCCCTCTCGTTTGTCATGTTGTAACTCAAATATGCCTTCTTCTGACATCCTTTCGGTCAGTTGCAAACCGGATTCACCAAAATGTAATGATGGGACTGCGGTGATGTCGATAAGTTTTGCGCCCTCAATATGCGGATTACCATCGCGCAGTTGTAGCAACAACTTTCCCATATCATATAATTCCCGTATTCGTTTGGCATCAGGCGACTTACTTAGCGTCAAAAGAGTTAGATGCAACAAATGGGTTATGGCAAATTCAATCTGGTCTTTCATTACGGAAACGCCGGCAAAGTATTCCTCCAGTGTAGATTGCCTTTGGGCAATTGTTTCCAGTTTGGTTACACGAAAATCCAACTCATGTAGGGAAATTTTGGATGAAATTGATTTCTCACTGGGCTCTTTCTCTTGTTCTTCTTCGTCAACAAAAATATCGCCTACACCGCTTTGCTCTGGCTCGGGTACAAGCGGTTTCTCCGACTCGGCCACCATCATTTCTTTCTCCTCCAAGTCAATTTTTTCTTCTTCTTCCGTTCCAATTGGTTGCTCAACATCGCCGGGGGGATTCTCTTCGTCTTCTCCACCAGCTAAACGCACGCTGCCCGTAAGCAGTTTACTCAATTGATCTATATTGGAAATAAAGAAAATATCTTAAGTTGATAATTATGTAACAAATATGTAATCATCTTACGATTCGGTTTGCTTGTCGCGTATAAAACTACAGTATCGTATTTGGAAAAATCGACAGTGTCGTCGATGATGTTTAACTTTTCTGCAATGCAACTTAGTAGACAATGCAGAGCATAAAAGTTCACATGTCCCGGCTCGGGGGAACCAATCGACATATCAATCAATTGACGAAATTTCAACGAAGTCATTTTCCGTCTATAGTAGCGAAGTGAAGGCGAATTTCAATTAAGAAAATCTTTTGTGAAAACTGAATTTTGGATAAAATTGCGGAATCAAAACGAATAATTTCCAAATTTTTCTGAACGGACTTTATTTGTCGTTGGCGATTAATATAAATCTGAATGATTTTAATTTTGATTAAAAGAAAATTTTTATAAAGAATAAAAGAAAACAACAATACTCCAGCAGTAATGTTTCAAAGATTTGATATAATAAGTTTTCAAAATTATTAAATATAGCAAAGTAGAAAGAGATTTTAACTTATCCGCAAAGCGATGAACACGTACCAGGCAACTGGTTCTGCATTCCACAATAAATTATTCCGATTATATTGTGAAGCAAAGCACAAGTAATTGTTGATAATACATTTTAATGAAAAATTTAGTTTGACTATATCTTAAGGCAAGACCTGTATTATATTGTACTTGAATCATTTTGTAATTATTACATACATACATACATACGGGTATCTTTGAACAGATCTCCCCATTTTTCTTATACGTACGTGATTCCATAATCAATACACTTTTGCCTACCAAATGGATAGAAACAAAACTGTTTATGCTCTATGCATATTGCGGTAAAGGATATATTAAGTTTGTATGCAGGTACGCAACACCCAGCAGGAACGCTTAAGATGGATACACTTTTTATTATACTGATCAGCTGGATCTGCTTATTTGCCTGAAGTTTTTCTATCCGAAGTCTTGCCTTCAACCTACATATCGCATATTGTAGAGATGTTTTCATAAAATTTGGCATGCCGAGGCGCTTTAGCCCAAGGACGAGCCCTGTTGCACTTTTGCGGTCAATTCTCATACAACGCCTTACTTTGAAAATGTTGTTATATTAAATGAATAGAAATTTTCAAATTTACTCAACAAAAATCGCTCGGGAACAATATTTCAATCCTACGGCGATCTATACGAAAGTGAAATCTAAATCTAAGGCTGTACTAAAACTAAATAACGTAATTCTGTTTTTGGACACCATGTAATTATTCTCCATATAACCAACGAGCATTACTATTTTATTACCTGTCCTTTTATTTCAACAATTTTTTCAAAAGTACACTATTTTTAGCCAGCTTCAATAGCTCCTTAATGTATTTAGTGTAGTATGTTTATTTATATTTATATTTATATACTAGATTTTTCCGCAAACCGCGAAATCTACCGTGTTATGGTATATTTTTAAGTAACATTTTTCTCATTTCAGTACAAAATAGTATTAAGTTTAAAAAAATTCACTTTCAATATCAATCAATATAAGATTAATCTTTTTAAAACAAAATGAAACAAGTTCCTAAAAACGCTATTCAGGGAAATTAACTTAAAATCACATTACTAACACCATCAAATGATGTTCCTTTGGTTTCTTTGAGAAATATCGCAACGAAAAGGACACCAAAAATGCTGACAGCAGAGCAAAACCACATTGTCGATGATAATCCGAAAAAATGCATCGATATGGGAAATAGTTTTAAAGCAATGAACGTCGAAATACTCCAGGCAACCATAAAAAACATGGTACCAGTTGAACGAATCTAAAAAAAAAAAAAAAAAAAAATCAAAAATATCACTGGCAAACATTTCTCTCTTATCAATATACATATATATATATATATATATATTAATTACGGACCTTTGATGGCAAAATTTCAACCATTATCACATATATTATCGCGTTTAGGCCAATATTAGACATAAATATAATGAAAGACATTAAGAAGACCGGTAACCAGTAACTAAAGCTGGAGAGATCAACATCATTTTTTTCGACAAGAAATGCGTACAAGCCCAACGCAGCCGTACCCAGGCCCACACCAGTAATTGATGTAATCATTAAGATTCGTCGGCCATATCGATCTACTATACCAATTGCCAGATATGAGCCGATTACTTGCACGACACCAGTTATAATCGTATTTGTATCGGGATGCAGATCAGTTTTCGTGGCAGCAAATATGTTTGACATGTAACTCATGAAAGCAAACAAACCGGAGTACGAATGTATTATTCCAAGTACAAAACCTATGCCCAGTACTTTTAGAGATTTTCCCTCGACTAGAACAGGAAAATGATGATTGATTTTAGTTAAAAATAAATTGAAAAATAGGTTAGAAAATTTTATTCGCCCGAAAGCGAAGCGATGTAAAATATCACATTTTTCTTTAATTTAAGACGATCAATAGTTTTTTTTATAGCCACGGTTCAATCGGTCGCAGAAAGTTTTGAATCAACATCCACTGTGGATTTCAAGTTGCTGACAACAACACTTTGAAATTTTCTTTATCGCTTTCTTCAGCGTCTTAATAACCGCCTTAAAGCATAAACCACTTAATATAAATTCCAAATGTTTGTAAAGAAGTTTCCACTTATTTCATGTCTGTGAAAGCTCTAGAAACGAACAGATAAATGGACGGACTTGAATTTTTACATAGATTGCATTCTACATATGTCTTTTTTAATCTTCCAAATGGAAAGACGAAGTTAGTCTAAGGACATATATCATCTCTAAAAAAAATACTTACAAAAATCTTGATAGGTAACTTTCTTGCCGTCACTTTTATGATTTCCATATGTAGTCTTAAGTTGCTCAAATTGATTTCGTAAATTTTCTTTTAATGTATGCATGCAGCGACGGCCCTGATAAAATATGAAAGCTTGTTCGGCCCGCTTCTCTTTACCTGCTCTTAACAAAAACTGAGGGGTCTCCGGGTAACGTGTCACCAAAAATAAAAACAGACACGGAAGTGGCAAGACAATCCATGGTATATTATGGTAATGAACATGTGACGATAGAATATATCCAAATAAAGTTCCCAAATTAATGGTTAAGCCAAACAGTGATGTAAGACGGCCACGTATACTGCAAAGGGAGATTTAAACGTGTCAGTAACTTTGCATTGCTTTATTAAACATAAAGAAAAATCTCTTACGATGAGTCACATATTTCACCAACAAAAATAGGCACAACAACGTAAGAACCGCCACCAGTGAAACCAGTAAAAAATCGTGCCGCATATAAATAATTAATGCTTCGAGCATAATACAGCAACAACCAAAGAAGCTGAATAGATATAAAACAAAGAAAAAAAAATTAATTTCAATTTTCACACAAAAAGCGAATATTCCGAGCGAGGAGCGGGCAAACTTACGGCATGGGGAAACGCTAAGCTGTAAATAGCTACTTTGCGACCCAAGCGGCTTAGAATAATTGAAAAGAATGTATTGCCTGTTAAGGCGCCCAGTGATATCATTGCGCCAAGCCATGACGATTCGTGTACATCCAACGAGAAATTAAGTGGTGTCGCTGGCGATTGCATTTTCATAAGCATCGGTGAAAACCAACCCAAAGCCACGCCATGTGATAGAGATATAATAGTAACTGTGACATTCGAAAGCGAAAAGTGTTGAAAAAAATTTGAATTCTTGCTTAAGTCATTTTATTTTCTGATTTACCGCTAATTGTTGCCAATAACTGTTGACGATAATCCGCCTTGAAAACTCCATTATTCCAACGTATATTCCAAAGCATATTGTATTGATTTTCAATATTTTACTTTAGCTACTCGTTCTTAACAATAATACTTTAAACTAAATTTTCTAACAATTCATTTACAGCATTTTATTAATATTCCTAAAAATTACCCTTATTTGCTAATTATTTAAGATAAAGCGAAAGCAAATATGTCACTGGGTTACTAAATACAAACTAACGTTTATTAAAAAATTTTATTAAAGCTTACGAAAGACTTTTCTCGGTTATCAGGCGGAAATTAATCTAAAGATTTTACTTATTTTTTTTTTTTTTTTTAGCACGAGACCACTAGAGATAGTTAGTTCTTTGCTCTATTGTTATAAGGTGTCAGTAAACATGATTAAAAGGTTATATGTTCGGTTTCAATCAAAATTTCCTTTCATACTTAGTTTCAGTTACTTTTTATCAATTATTTCACCATAAAGTGATGTAAAGAAATCAGTAAATTTTACTTGTGTTTATATTTAGCGTTACTTTTCCCCTTATCCCTTAGGAATGGAAAATTTCAAAATTATCAGAAGTTTCTTTATCGTCATCTTGCTCTCTGAACCAATTGCAAGGAGTTCGATATAAGTTGTCAACTAAGGCATTTCAAAAGCCAACTCATCAACCTCCCAGCGTTTAAACCAATCAAGCAAATAGAAGAATCGCAGATTTAGGCGCTACTTTCGAGATAACAACGTTCATGTACCTCATGGTGAGGTTGTAAAAGCGAAAAGATTCAAGTAAAGTAAACATCTTTCAACCATAAAAGCAATTTACTACTGTTTTTATTTTTTTTTATTTTTATTTTTTTTTTGTTAAACTCAGTCATCCACAGTAGTCGAACGAATTCTTCACACGTCGTACTCATATAAATTTTAAACTTAAGTTACCAAATTTTTAGTGAACATACGAGTAATAGTTTCTTTACTCGATGAGATATTTTTAATTGATTTGCTCACTTTTTAAATTTTTTCAGTTTTAAAATACTTAAACCATATTTGGGCAGTCTTAGTTCGGAGTTTGAAAGTTTATTTATTTATACAGTTTAGTTAGTTAGCTAAAGTTTATTTATTTATTGACAGTCGAGTTCAATTGACTCCTAAAGTAAATCTTATATTAATTAATATTAAAACTTAGTATAAGTAAAATAAAACAAATGAGAAGGAAAAAAAAGGAAAAAAGAAAAAAACATGTACACAACTAGCATAGAGCCACAACTACAACCGGTACAGGACCAAATTGCAAATGAACCCCTAAGCCATCGCAAACATGCACAAGCTTGGCAACCGATAATAGTTAACAACAAGTGGTAGACGTTAGTTAGATTCTTACAAACAAATCTGAGCGGATTAAAGAGCTCATCATTATATTTACACTGACTATGCTTAACCAAGATAAAGTGCCTAGAGAAGCGGTTCGGGATATTAAAGCTTATTTCACCAAGTAATGAAGGCGAGCCAATAGCAACATTTATTAATTTGATTACAAAGGAAACGTCAAGAAAAAACCTACGTTTCTGAAGAGACGGTAAGGACAGCAGAAGCAACCTATTTTCATAGGGAGGAAAAGAGGCAATCGGATCCCAACCCAAATTTCTAAGGGCAAAGCAGCAAGAATTGCTTTTGAACAGATTCAATTGAATCTACATAGCACCTATATGAAGGAGACCACACAATAGAGGCACGCTCGAGTATAGGTCTAACCAAACGTATGTACAGCCTTTTCGTAATGTAACGATCATCAAGCTGTTTGGATCACCTCTTTATAAAACCAAGCGCGGACCTAGCTTTGCTTTACCCAATGAAAGTAATTTCTTTTGGAAAGTTCACTTAAACGGTTTATAGCTTCAATAGTATTAATAAAATATGGTAAATAAAAGCGAAATACATAATTTCTATATTATATACATCAACTGGATTTTATGTAGATCTCGCAATCATTGGCTATATATACGTACATGTATGTATATTATTCGTACAGCAGAAGATAAAATCTGTTATTATAATTTTTGAAGTGCTTTCCATATTTCAGTAAAACACTAGCAACGCATATCAAAAGAATTAAGTCCAGGTCAAATGTATTTAACGGCCGCGTTATACGTAACGATGCTGCGATGAATAGAGTTTGAATTACTTTATATTAGAGTAACTTTTTAAATTTTTATAACAATAATTAATTGCTTTTGTTTTTCAAATGCACTTCCAAAAAAAAAAAAAAAATGTTGATTATGAATTCGCTCATTTTCTTGTATACTGTACTTAAAGCTACGAGTTACAAAAGCTGAAATAGTTAAAATTTCAATTCGTTCAGTTTCATAGGCACACAAAAACTAATTTAAGTTATGCCGGATTATTCTGTGTCAAATTGATTTGAAATGTTTGCTAGCATTACCTAAGAGATCAAAAGGAAAATGGTCGCGACAGCCGCTTTAAGGGCATACCAAGGATTGAATCCAATCAATGTGTTCATAAATAGTCAAATCTGATCTTCTTAGTTTTCCCAACCGTGTTAAATTGGCACAAAAACTAAAAAATTAATTTCTCTTCTTCTTCTGCGAGTCATCAAATCAACGAAAGATGATTTACTGAGTTAAGCAAAAAAAGATTCTATTGATTTCCCATGCATTGTCTCAAGATATCCTTATCAATATGTTTGTATAAAGAATATTTCTGAAAAATAATATTGAAAGACGTGCTTCTTCTTGTTTGCAACAGGTTTAGTAACCGCACTTCTTAGAAAATTAATTTCACATCATGTACTTCTTAATAATATCTTCGCAACAATTTATTCATGGAAATATATTTATACATAAATGAAGACGATATTAAACTAAAACAGATTTCAGGAACTCGAACCATAAATTTTATTCCAATCGAGATATTGTTGCAAATCTTGTTGAGAAACACTGGGTCGTATTTTCTTTAAAGCGCTATAAAAATCGTTGATATCCACGCAACGCAGCTAAAAAAAAAAGAAACATTTTTATTTAAATAAATTTAAAAACTTATAAATAAAATATATTCCGCATGCATTATAAAATGCATGAATTATGAGCAAATTTTCAAAAATGTGAGCGACGTAAAAGTATACCCTATTCACTGCCTCTATGCTGCTTTTCTACTTTTCTATGACTTTTAACTAATTTTTTATATTTTATGGATAAAGCAGGTCGATGAAATGATCTGCTTTAGAAATTGATATTGGGTCGTAAGAAATCTTCTGCGGTTTTTCTACATACTACAACAACAAATCCGATTAGCTAAATGGACTGATTGGCTTTTTGTTATAATAAATGAGTGAGATTAACTCTTTCTGAATATATTAAATCTCTACTAGATAACAGGTCTGCGACAGCAGTGAAAGCATGAGTGAACAGGAGAACCTTAATGATCTGTTCCCGAAAAGACAAGCTCATTTTGCTTTAGAAAGTGAAGGTCATGTTGCTGGTTTATTGGCAAAGTGTTTTTTGTCTTGAAAGATCTCATCGTCCGCCTTATTTCAAATTCTTATTTTAACGAGCACTGATAGTTAGAAGTGTCAAAGAGAAGAATGCATTGACTTGTCATTCTAACTGTATATATATTCTTATCCATGTCTGTGCTTTCATCGTCTATTGGTGATACTCTCCTAAATCTTAAATAGGTAGGCTGCTTAGAGTCACAGTTCAGTAGGCATAGTAGAGCGGCAAGCACATTTATTACTGCTAAAATGTCAAGAGTGGTAAAAGATCTCAATACAATATCTCTGGTTCCTCCAGAATTTGACTTTTTCATGGAACAATGACAAACGAGATTAAAAAAGCTACGTACATTTTCCATGTTGAAGGTCATAATCGATTCCGGCGGTATCGAACGCAATGGTTGCATGGAAGCCTCGCGGCATAAGCTGTCCATGTCAGCACCTGAGTAACCTTCTGCCAATGTAGCAACTTTGTTTAGGTCATCAAAATTTAAGCTATTTTTTACAGTTTTTAAAAGGTTCTTAAGTATATTGATTCGAGCTTCAAGCTCAGGTAGAGGTATGTATAAACGTTTAACAAAACGTCGGCGCACAGCTTCATCAAGTTCCTGCGGTCTATTGGTGGCGCCAACAACGAGAACACGGTCGTCATCTGAAGTACTCGCACCATCTAATCTTACCAGAAATTCCGTCTATGAAAAATTTGCAGTATTTATACTTAACATATGTAAATAAGAGTCAGATATAACTTACTTACCTTCATTCGACGGTAAGCTTCATTTTCGGAATCCGAGCGTTGACAAAGCATAGAATCTACCTCATCAATAAATATCACCTAAAATGAATAAGTAATATCTATCAATATATTGTTTTCTACTTTAATTTGAAAAATACTTACTGAAGGCTGACGTGCTTCAGCAACAGCAAATAAAGCTCTCACCAATTTCTCACTTTCACCTATCCATTTGGATGTCAAGGATGAGGAACTAATGCTGAAAAACGTCGCTTTCGCTTGCGACGCTATGCATTTACCAATTAATGTTTTGCCGGTGCCGGGCGGACCGAAAAGCAAGATGCCGCGCGGTGGCCTGCGCAAACCAGTAAAAATGTCAGGACGAAGAAGCGGATATACCACCGCTTCTTTTATAATTGACTTTGCATAGTCTAAGCCCGCAATATCACACCAATCTAAAGGCAAAATGAAATTTATTCTTTTATTCGCTAAAGCAAAGGTAATGCTATCCTACCAATGGATTTTAGTTCATGAATAATTTCATTAGTTACCATCTCAACTATTTTCATATCAATGTTTTTTAATGCCGGATGATCCTTTAGAGCGGACAGCTCCGGATTCAAAGTTTCATGTTTATTTTCATTCTCTTTCGTGTTTGTGGTGCTGTAATGTTATTTAATTATTAATGGGTGTTAATATAAAGACATATAGAAAGAAGGAATATATACAATGTCCAATCCGGGGAGCGTAATATGTCATAAATGATAAAATTAATACGCTTTCCGGTTAACATGAAATTCTTGGATTATTAGTTGTATGGAAATGAAAATAAGTTTAGAAGTTAATTGTTCGTATGTCCAGGCTTTCGTGAAATTTTTAAAAATTTAGAAAAACAACAAAGAAAGTAAGCTTAACTAGAGCCAAATTTTTTAAAATTTGTCAACTGATGATTTGTCATCTGCAAAATAGAGCAAAATTGTACTTGCTTATATGTCTGGCTGAATATTCTCTTCATCGCATATATTTAATGATTTTCCATGATACGACCTTGATAATTTATTGACCGTAAATTTTGGATCATGCCCCTTACTCATAAACCAGTAAATGCTACCAAGCCTTTAGGAAGATGGCAGAAAATGGCAAGGTTTAAAAAAAACAGCTTGTGGCGGCTTTTGTTGCATTTTGTTGGCTTACACGCAATGGAGGGATGGCCGACCTTCATGGTTAAATCGACTCCTTCTTTGCGACACATATTTCAGTGAGATACAGAGCAAAACTAATGTCGACCACGTGCTAAGAATAAGAAGTGAAACTTGGTAAATCAGCGCTTAATTTTTCTTTACAGTAGGTATTGAAAATTGCATGAGTTTGCTCATGCCTTAATGTGTCTGTGAATGATTTTGGTCAGCATGCAAAAGCATTTCAAATATCTAGCAAAAAAGCTGCTGTATTCCACCCATGCGCATTCAAGTCCAAGTATTAGCTCGTGTCATAAATAACTTCCGATGCAAGTAGGTAGAATCTATTGTTCGTATTTACCCATTGTAAGTCAACAAAACAAACACTTCTTTCTCTATATAGGTGGGAATTCGGTTAGTCTTCATTCAACTGTTTTATGTGGTGCATGTAACATTCAACCGTTTTTCATTACCTCTGAATGAAGTATGCAATGGTTTGGAAACTTAAAGAAGGCGATACCGTTAAGGCGACAGTGGAAAAAATATGCAGCGCATACGGCGAAGGACTAATAACTGATCGGGCAGTTAGAAATTGGTTTGTAAAATTCCTTTCTGGAGATACGACCCTGCAAAATGAGACGTACTTCCGACCTTGACGACGACGTTTTCAAGGCAATATTGGAGCAAAATCTCCGTCAATCGGCCAACAAGAGCGGAACAACACAACACGGAAGTTACTTATGACTAGACCTAATATTTTGTTGTGTGTATGGTTGTTGTTTCAAACTCTAATTTTTGTTTACATTTGCCATGCACGGGCTATTGCTTACAGTTCAAAAGTAAGACCAAATATATTTGGTTTTTTAAATGGGTTACATTTCATCCTTGACCTACTTTGTAGTTCGCACTGGAGGTACGAAACCTTTTTTACTGGCGTTTGCATAACGCCCTAACGCTGTTCCAAGAGATTTTTTTGGTGGTGCGAAATTAAAATCGGTTTTCCCAGTATTTCTCCGCACTCCGCTGTTAACATCATTTTTATCGCATTTCTATAAAAAGACAAAAGTAATTTCCAATTGAAAATGTATTAAATGTTTCTTAGTCTTTACCTTCCCATTTTGTGATAAGAATACATCAAGGGCAGTACGAAAGGGGGGTTTATCACACGAATCCGTTTGTGCAAATGCTTGCATTCGACTTATTTTTCGTGGCCGTTCTTCCTCTTCTACATTGGTTTGTGATATATCACAAGTTGACGAGGAAGTTGAAGGCCTTTCTCTGTCCTGTTGTGCGAAATCCAATAACTCCTCTTTTGGTGGAAATTTAATTTTATCGATATCCGGCATATCACTAGAAGTCATCTTTCTAAGGCTGACGTTTTGTTTCGTCTTATTAAGCAATGTTTCTACACCTTGCAAGCGTTTCTTTATGAATTCACTATCATCGATAAAGCAAGCACGACGAGAACAATGCCTTTCCATAAAGTCATTTTGAAAGGCGCCCTTTTCTACTAAATGTGGAATAAGAATAGCTTGCTGCCGCCAAGCGGTAAACTTTTCATCTACATCTACTTTCTCTTTTACTAATTTGTTCTCGGCACAAAGATAAGCGTTCAATATATTGTTATAGTTAATATCAGAATCCATTTTTTTCAAAAAAACTCTTGATTATATTTATGTGATCGATTCAAATGTTTATTATGGTTGCCAAGCTATCCAAACTATATCATTTACTCTGTTTGCGGCAATGAATGGGGATTTTATGTCGATCATAAATTCTATCGCGAAATTTTCAGGATTGCCTTTTCCCGATAGTTTCCAAATTCCCAATTAAAAAAATGTTCTTTTACTTCATACGTCTTCTTGCTACAAATAATTAAGAGTTGGCAATCATGCGAATATAACAATCCAATTTAAAATATTTAAATTAAAAAAATTATTATTATTATTATTTTTAATTTCGCCAGAGAAATAAATTCTAAGACTAAACTCTTAAAAGCACTAGCATCCAAGGCTATCGGCTTTTATTAAAAATTCTATCGCACTTGAGATTCGAACCCACGACCATTGAGCTACTCAGGCGGATATATTATTATTATTTTTTGGCATTTTATAAGAAAAAAAAAGCAACTTTGAAAATTTCATTAAAAATTGTGTAAAAAAGTCTGTTATAAACAAAAGAAAAAATATGTCAACACAACCAGAGAATTCGTTGTACTTGCTAGTCGAGATTCCTCGCGTTCGGCTACTCATGCGGATGTAGTTTGAAAGGAGAGCAAGTTAGCACTCCCCTAGACAAGGATGGAATCACATAAATAACTGGAAAAGGCACTAAAAAAATTAAAACGTAAACATTTGTTTCTTCTTCTCGAAGTGCTTTATAAAGTAGATAGCAGCTATCTTTATAGAGGAGTTGTCATGATTCCTTGAGGTATTTCTCCATTTTATGCGCGTAAGTCATGTTTTACTGCAGACGATTACTTATGGAGGTGATATTACTCTTTTCTTGCCTTTACGATTTTTTAAACTCCAAGATATATAAAGGTTGTTATGAGAACCAAGTCTTTATATGGAGAGAAAGTCTAATTTCCAGTTCTTTATTCACTTTTTCGACCACATTCCACATAACTCCTTATTTTGAAAAGTTCTTATAGCGAAAAATATTGCAATTTGCATGACTAGTCAACAAAACTCGCTATCTAGTAGTACTTCGATATTTCAATTTGGTATGAAAAATTTAGTGCCGCTTGAGCAATTTTTTGGACCCCTTCTCATATAACCGTTCCCACGAAAACTGAACCTTTATATGGGAAAAGTGTATATTTTTCAATGTTTTGTAGAGAAAATTGGTTCATAACAGTAAATTGACAAAGAACCCTATCTTATCAAATTTGGACCACGTAGAAATATTTTTTGGATACCTCCGCATATAAGAATTCTCTAGAAATTTAATCTTTTATATGCCAAAAAGGTCTCAATGCTAGTGTTGCATGATAAAAATTTGGGTCTTGATAGTAATTTGACACAAAAATTAGATGGATCAAGCTTGAAGCAAATAAATCTTCAATCTCATTATATATAAGCCTTCTCATGAATAGTAACTAAAGAAATTGCTTTAAGTTTTAATATTTTATGATGAAAATCTGTCTGGTCCGTAGAGCAATTTGGTATAAAAATTAACGGCAAGGAATTTGGATCACATTGGTCCATTTTTTAGACCCTACCATATGTAGGAGTATAGCAAGCCTTTGTAGGGAGAGAAAGTCCAATTTGTACTTTTTTATGACGGAAACTGACATACATTAAAAGTTTTGGAAATTATATTAAGTTAAGCAATGTTTGGAGTACGTGACTGTACAAGGCGTCCCGAGTACGAGTTGGGAGCATCAGGATCTTATCCGTCATTTATGATGATAATCCTGCTATCGATTATCGACCTGTTTATTCTCAAATTAAAGTTCCTTCGGTTATGGTTTAGCCAAAAGCCAAAGGAAAATTTTGTTTCGGCCGTATCTCCTGATACGGCGTTTCTAACCAAGACGACGGAGGTTCATTCGTTCGTAAATGTCGCTTTCGTCTCAAGTGTTTTGGCTAAAGTGCTTAACGCAGATGATCGAAGTCAGGCATTCCCTAGCGAGCGGACTAGTCGTTCGGTGATGGCAGCAGAAGATAGCGAATATTCTTCAACTCCTTCAAATCTATGGCTAGTAATGCTATCGACTTCTAAGTCGAGTACTTGCCGATATACACTTTGATGCCTTTGTGAAATTTGTATCCGGCAACTATTGCGTTACTAGCATATTGAATTTTCGCTTCCTTTACAATACCAGTGGTGCAAGTTCATGCTCAGAAACTACTATCTATTGTGGCCACAAGATGCATTAGCAAGAGAATTCGTTCCTCGTAACAAACAAAGCAATTCAACTATCGCTTTTAGTTCTTATGCTGTATCTATCGATATAAAAAACTAAATATCGTAAGCTTCCCTTCAAGGTCCATGTCGAAATATTAGCAGTCTTAACTTCGCAGCTTGCATATAGACAATATCGGCCGTGGTTGCGACGCTTTTGTGAAAACGTGGCTACAAACCAACATATTCCGTTACGAAACCTTTTATGCTGATTATGACCATTCAATGAAGGAGGCGTTCTGTTGGCTATCCTTTCCTTTTTTTCTTTTTACCGGAACTAGTAGCTTTCCGACATCTTTCGAAACTGAATTTTTATGCGTCTGTGTAGTTTTCGAAGACAGGCATAGTTTTTTTTTCTTGCTCCCATATTCCTCCAATTGATATAGCTATATATTTTTAAAACTACTACATCAAGGTTATTAAAACCAAACGAAAAGTGGGCTACTTGCTCAACTTTACCGATTTACGAAAACGATAGTTGCTTGAGAAAAGAGGACTCATATTAGTAATGCTCTTTATGCTGATAAAGGGAGATATTAGTTCCCAAATTTTAATCTGTCACATATCTTTCAATGATCCAGCTCGCTCTTCTACGTACAATCTCCTAATTAAAGTTCTCTCACCTGCCGCACAAATTAGATCAGCGTAGTTTGTAAAAATGTAAACGACTTAGGCATGAACTGGATGATTGCTTGCAAGTTGTATTATGTATTTGGACTGTAGATATGCAGTCATGTACGATTATATGGATAATTGCTTATATGAATTATAGAGTTAGCATCGTGAGGGCTTCTGTGTCTTTGACACATTCTTTTTGCCAGTGTAATTGTATATGTTAGCTACTTACATTTACTACTTTTCTTAATTTGATAAAATTTTGTTGCTTTATCTTTCCGATTTGCATGCACTATATATATATATATATATATATATATATATTATACTATTTATATATATTTTACACTAGTTATTTTTTATACCATTCGCTGTGTAAATAAGTTAATAATATTAAATAAATAAACACCTGCGTACACTTAATATACCCTATGTAATAAGTGGTGCATGGCATAGAAACTAGAATATTTTGTAAGAATGTTTATGTGAGAGGGAGTCTAAAAAATGCCCGCATCTCACCCACACTCGCCATACACCTATTCGCTTAATACGTGAAAATACCATTTTTAACCCATCTTTGTCGCACAGTATTAAAAACGGGACATTTTTTTTTCATATAATAACTCTTGCAAAATATGCCTGAATACGACAAAAATGGATCGATCCAATCCACTTTCAATTAAGTTCGACCTTAGGCCGAAGTAGTGTACCAAATTTTGTCAACCTGGAACTTAAGCGGGCAGACGGATGGGGGCGTATAGACATGATTAAATGGATTCAGAATTCGACTGGCAAAAAAAAGTTGTTACTGTTTCACGCCCTACTCGAAATATACGCTATTTCCGAGCTTTAAGGAGCTGGAGACACACTGTGTGACACATCAGTTACTCTACTTAAGATACTTAATATTGAATACGGTTTAATTTAATTCATTGAAGTAATGCGGCGCATGAGATGGCTTATACTTGTTAAAAAAAATTTTAAATATATAAAGCATTTGACGACATATCTGTTGATAGAACAAGCCATACGCATCTTCGCTTTAATAAGACTTGTCCAAGGCTAAATATATCTAATACCAATATCTGCCTAAAGCTCACATAGTAAAGACTCTGCTGCTTCAAACGAAGTCCGTGCGATACTCTGGCAAATCCGCCTTTCGCTAGCTAACCAAACTCAGGAAATAAAAAATATATATATATATATATATATTATTATTATTAAAACTATTATTATTGCATCCTATGTTTTGGAGAAAAAAATGTGAGCGGCAATCTCTCATATTGTACGAACATCAATTGTGCTCACATAAAAATGCTTTAGTGAGTTGACAGAGCAAATGGTTATCTCATTTTCATCTACAATCTTTAGCAACTTCATTTTTTTGCACACAATGCCAAGGAATTGTTTTGTTTCCATAACATTTAGTTCATGTTAATTGTTATTGTTGTTGTTGTTGTTGTTGTAAGTTTAAATATACGCAACAAGCTAAAGCATAAAGTGTGATGCCTTGTAAACCAGATAACGTTGAATGTAAAAAGTTTAATAATAATTTATATATGTATATTAGCTTATCTGCAGTTGTAACCATTCGAAAAGATGTAATGCTAGCATCAACGGAAACATATAATAAATATAAGTAAACTTACTTAAAATTAAGTAATAGTGTAGTGGTAATAGATAGCTGTCGCCTGTAGAAAATCCGTAAGATAAGCTGGATAGACGAAACGTGGTAAAGATAAACTGTACGTTCAATCTTTCAGCAAGAAGTAAGCATTTCGCATCATGGATGAATCGAGTGCAACACGTAACCAATACCTCGCTGCTATTTGTGGTCAGTTATTTGACTTAAAATCTCTTGAAGACATCAAAGATATTTAAATTAATTTATTAATAGTAAACATTATTTCGCTTTCGCATGGAGGATTTTGCGGTTGGACATCGGCCAGTTTTATCGAGCTGCTTTCGCCAAACAGTCCCCTTAAAGCCGGCCCATTGGACAACTATCAACTTGGATGGATTGGTTCATTGCTATGTGCCGGAGGAGCATTGGGAACAATATTTTTTTCCTGGTGTGCTGACAAAATTGGTCGTAAACGTTCTTTATTACTTATCGGATTGCCGGCTCTGGTAGGCTTCACTTTTTCCTACGGTTTGCAATAATTTTCTATAGTGAAAGAAATTCCTCTTAGCTTGGCTGGTGGATAATTCCATTCGCTCAAAATTCATTGCACTTATGCTTAGCAAGACTTTTGGGTGGCTTCGGTGGTGGTGGAATATTCTCTGTAATACCATTGTACATTACAGAATTTTCAGAAGATAAGTATGTGTACTTGAACAGCACATATACGAAAAATTCATTCGACATAATTTACTTTACAGGTCGCGCGGTATTTTAGGAACATTTTTAATTGTTTCATGCAACACTGGTATTCTGGTCGCCTTCATTTTAGGCAACTTTTTTACTTACAGTGCAGTTGCTTGGGCTTTATCATCGTTACCGTTATTATTCATTTTATGCTTTGCTTTCTTACCGGAAAGTCCTCAATATCTGATCAATCAAAATTATATAAAGGAGGCTGAGAAATCTTTGCGTTATTTTCGAAATGTAAAATATTCGAAACATAGTCTGCCACTACCTGTTCAAATGGAAATGGACAAATTATTGGACAGAGCTCAATCAACAGAATCTGCACCAAACGAACCTCAAGTAAAAGATCTATGTGAGTGTCTTTAAATGACCGAATGTGAACTGTGACATGAAATCCTTGAACTTATATAAATATCGTTTCTTATAGACAATCATAAGGCACGTAAAGCTTTTTTAATTGGTGTAGCCTTGATGGCCTTAAATCAGTTTTGCGGTTGTTTTGCTATGATCAACTACACGGCTAGTATATTTGAACAATCGGGTTCGAGTCTCTCACCGAAAATATCTGCGATTATTGTGGGTGTAATTCAATTGTTAGGCTCATGCGCATCTACATTGTTAGTGGAGAGAGCAGGCAGGAAGGTAATTCAATAACGATTAATGTCTGCTTGTTCTTTTTTTTTATTTTCGTATATAGTTATTCATGACCGACTTTGCTATTTCGCATTTTTGCTTATAACTAACTACTCACCATTCAGTTTACAACTTAATTTCGACAAAAACACAATTCCTATCGTATGAAAATTTCAATATTCAAGATTCTCTCAAGAGTAAACGACCAATCACAAAATAAGTGGGTGATGTCTGACAAAATTCAAAAAAAAAAAAAGCAATTTTGAAAATGTTACATATTGCGAACGAGTATTGTACGAGTATTGGAAAAGATTGCGTAGAACAGTAAGTTGAACATTTAGGTGATTAGTCTAATACAGTCCCTAATTCTGATGCTACTACTACTACTACTACTACTAACTAATGTACGAGAAGGCTCGGGCTAGATACGACGCGCTACTCATATTCGTCTAGAATTAGTTTGGTTTATGGCGTACTCTGACTCTGGTGTATAACTGACTGATTTATAAGTAAACTGGTTTTTCTTCCGCTATTCTCCAAGAGTCAATATGCGTTTCTTATTCACTTTTCGTAACTCCCGTATTAGTTATTGCTTGTCATATCATCTATTGGAACTGGCATTGGACTCGGATGTCTAGGTGGTTATATATATTTGAATGCGATTGGGTATGACACACAACTATTTGCATGGATACCAATTGCTAGCTTCTCATTTACTATTTTTATCGGCTGCTGTGGAGTCCTAACACTTCCCTTTGTTCTTGTATCGGAGATTATGCCACCGAAAATACGAAGCAGTGGATCGATGCTATGCACTCTGTGTATGTGGACTTTTGCATTTGTTTTGATTAAGGTAAAAGTAATTGTTAGAAATGGAGATGAGAAGAGATTTTTAACGAAACTTTTTTTCACTATGTAGTATTTACCTTTGATGAGCGCTATAATGGGAATGCATGGCATGATGTTTTTCTTTGCTAGTTGCAGTTTAAGCGGAGCTTTGTTTGTCATCGGTTTCGTGCCAGAAACAAAGGGGAAGAGTATTGAGACAATTTTGGAAAAACTTTAATTTTTATGGAGATATGTATGCATTTAACTATATATAATTCCACGTTTACATAGAATCGATCATCTGTCTGCTCGTCATTTTTTTTTTTAATATCGCGTCGCCGCCCGAAAATTCCACACTCTTTTTATGATTCTCTTCAATAAAAGAAAATCAATGGAGTTATTTTTTGAAGAGAGAAGAAAATGAAATCTCTCGTCCCCAAAGACGAGATTTGTTATTGAAAAGTGTTTTTTTTTTTTTTTAATGCCTATTTATATACAACCAACTCTTATTTTACGCGATGTATAAGTTGCCTTGAAAACCGCGCAAAAAAATCGTGTAACAAAATACATCCGATATTTGGCAAATTTGAGAATAAGTTCCACAAAAAACCGTGCAAGAAAGGTGACGGCGAAGTTCATATTTATCACATATTTATAAAGCAGAGCAAAATGCTATCATTGGTGGATATGTTAGATATGAACACTATTGTCGGATTTGAGTCAAGTGAAGAATTTCTTTTGTTATTAACGGCTTTTGTTGGTTTCTTTGTTCCTATAAAGTCTGTTTAAAACTTTCTGTGGGACCATGTCAAACTTTGAAAAATAAATCTTTTTTCTGCTTGCTCTTAAAAAAAAGAAATTCGTCTAAAAATGTGTATTTGTCTTTATTAGTGAACCCCGTTATTCGAAAATCGGGTGGAAAAAGATTGCGTAAAAAAATAGTTGAGTCTACATATTTGACCAACAAAGAATGGATTAGAAGGAATCATTTTAACGCGGCTATAACAAACGTTACGTAAAAAAAAAGTGAAAACATTAAAGTTGGGCTACACCGACTATTAAATACCCGACACCATTTCGTCTAACACAGTTCTTTTGCAATGGAAGCGAAAACTTATACCCTGTTTTTATCTGAACTTGATATTATAGAACTGTAGATTGGTAATTAGATCTCTTTGCAGGCTTACTTTCGGTAAGAATGGTTATGCCTAAGAGGTTCAAAAATTCAGCAGATATCAAACTGCTATTATGGATTAATTTTCATAGTAAAATGTTAAAACTTATACTTTTTTACCCTAAAAAACAAAAATTTTCACGAATATACTTATACGGGGTAGGATTTAAAAATAGGCACGTGCGGTCCAAATTTGTTAGTAAATTATCATTATGATCTAATTTTCATCATGAAACTTTGAAAATGAGACCTTTTTGTTATATGAACTTCAGTTCAGAGGGGATTCAAACAATTGCCACAGCCACAGTCCAAAGTTTTCGCACGAATTTAGAATGTCGAAATACTATTATTTAGCCACTTCTGCGGAGAGATTTTGAAAATTGCAATTTTTTTTTCCATATAACGACTTTTTATAGTAGGATGTTATATGAGGAGTGATCGAAAAAGTACACCGATCCGAACCATTTGCAATACCGTTCGTCCTTGCGTCAAAACTCGTCAGTATATCCAATTTTATCGAAATACCTTAAAACCTGTAAGATGGATGCAAATTTACATGGACAGACATCAGGCGGACCGATGGACAAACAGGCTTAGATTAATTCAGATTATGTTTCTGAATCGATCGGTATGATAAAAGGTGGGTCTACCTTAAGCCCTTCTGCGTGTTACATGCGTCCGCACAAAGTTAGCATACCTTGTACCATAAGTGATGTAGGGTATAATTATATTATTATTATTATTATTATTATTATTATTATTACCAGAGACTAAAGTCTTAAAGCACTAGCGTCTAAGGCTATCGGCCTTGAGATTCGAACTCACGACCATTGGAGTTGCTAGTCGAGACTGTTTGCTTGCTCGGCCATTCAAGCGGAGAGGGTATAATTATAATATTTAATATCTTTCGACAAAATTCGATAAAAAATAGTCTTTTGGCATATTAAATGAATGCGGACAATTTTTTCGGTCTGAACGTCGTCCTATGTAAATGAGCCCACAAGAAATCCGTTAAGCAAGAATGTCTCATTTATAGTTTTTTACCATGGAATAGTAACCTTTTTCTTCCCACTTTGCGGGCACCTCCCCATATAACGGTGAAGTATGCCATTATATGGCAACGAGCTTTAAATTTTTCGTATTTAATGACGAAAACAGTCAGCATAGTAAGTTAAAGAAAAAATATGATCATAGTTTATTAAGCGAGACAAGACAATCATACTAAGCGCTTGCTGCAAAGCAAGATTCATTTAAGGTCGCCGCTTTCGAAAGTAACAGACAGATGATCTGCCCTATTTTCCAGTATTTTTTATATTATTGTATTTAACACTTCACATATATGAAATCATGTACTTTTATCCATTAAATAACAACATTTTATCAATTTTTTTTCAATTTTATTTTGTTATCCACCAATAAGGGATGGAATTGTAAGGTCCAGAGAAGTGGTTTTTGCACTCAATAAAGTTGCAGCCTTAATTCGTTTATAGATCAGTTACCCCTATTGGTTAGCAATCATTACTTTGTCGATACTGTTTAGGTAGTTAAGTAGTTACGTAGTATGATATAAAGGTAGTATTAAGACGACAGCTCGTCCGCAGTATTAAATACCTTCAAAGAACTGAAAACCTCTATTCTGGCTGCAAATAGTTATTGCAGGTCCAAAATCAGCCAATTGAAACGACTGATGATGAGGTTCTAGATTTTCTTGAACAGTGCCACACATAAAGTTTCTTTTACATTTTAAAACACGCAACAAATTGTATCTTCATTTAACATTTATTATTTGACATCGGGTGACTACAAAACTGCCTGTTTAACCTTCATAAATAACGGAAATGAAATAGTTTGGACGCGCTGATGTTTGTTTTATCATCAAAGAGCCGAACAAAGTGAACAATGTTTACACAGTAGTTCTACTTCTCGTCCCTGAGTAGGAAACATGATTTTGTTAGTCTAACTGGCTACTGGGGATGACAAATAGATTGTGTATAATAAGAATATAATTAAAAGAAGCTTAAAACTGCGCCAACAATAAAATATTTGATTGAATCGAATGGAGAATGGAGTCTGGTATAGCTGCAGAAAGCTAATTTTTTTAAAAGCGTCTTTTACATGGTCAAGTACAACCAGGGAAACGTAGAGCGACATGTTCAATCGAATCATGAAACACAAATGTTATCCTGATCTTGAGTCTTTAGATTTTGATGGTTGACTCACATCAAAATAATTTTGAATGACACGAAGTCCGATTCTATAGAAATTTAAAATTTGTAAAATATTTATGGAAAATGATAAAGACTATATAGGCAACTGTTAAGTAAACGCATACGCATCAAATCGAAAAGTGGACAAAGTCGATTCGCGAGTTGCTGTCTGGCGGACAAAAGAGGAGTTGATGATGTTTAATCGACTTTCGACGGAATGTATTGCGCTGAGTGGAATGATTTATTGAACAATTTCATGAGTTGCGCTGTATTGCGCTGAATGGAATGATTTATTGAACAATTTCCTGAGTTGGCTTTCTTCCAAAATTTTCACTCTAAGCTCTTCTGGCTTAAGTAGTTTATTCCGCATTTCAGTTGGTCCTCTAAATATTCTAATGATTCCGGCAGACTATGCAATAATAATAAGATGGTGAGGAAAACATCACCCATAGTGACTTTGTTTGCAATCAACTTGATTCCTGCGTCAAAGTCATCGCTCAGAAAATCATGGATGTTTTCATTTTCTTTCAAGCGTGCTGAAGTGATCATTTTTAGAAGAGCAAGAGTTCTGGTTGGACTGGAACGTGTGTCGCAATTTATTCCACATTGCTTCTGCCGCTTCACATTCAGAAAGTAATCGATGATGTCACCAGATCAATAAAGCCTTTTCCAATCATATTGATAATTACATTTTTCGATTTGAACAATTCCAATTCGCGAAGAAAAAAGTCAACAGCGCAAAGGTAAAAAGATACCAACAGCATGTCGTGTAGGAAATAATGTATGAACAATGCCTAGAGAGTCAACATGGACAAGTAAACGATATCAAAGTTTTTTGACAATTTAATGTTGAATCCATCTGAGGCGATTGTAAAGTTTTCATCACGTTGTAATCCAAAATTCGATTGCAGTATTCCCATCCGTACAATCTATTAAAAAATATTATTTCAAACGTTTGCTTGGCAAGAACTTTATTTATTCAAAAAGAATCTATCGGTAAATTCTATTAATTAATAATAAAATATGAAATCAAATATAATAGAATATATATTACATATATAGAACATATATACATATATAAATATGTATATGTTGAAAATCCTCTGCGTAAAAAAATATTCCAAATTAGTCTCATAAATGCATTCGTGCACTTTATACAACTTTATAAGAAAATGTTGTATCAAAGGCCTGAAAATGTAAATACGTCCACTTAAGCGTTAATAAAAGAAAAAAAATTTTTTTTTTAAAATATGTTCGTTACATAATTTTTGAAGAATTGTTCACTTAATTCATTTATATTTTGATGATAATGATGGTGATGATTTTTATTTAATGAAATGCTCATATATCTACAAAATAAAAAAATAAAAAAAAATTTAATTTCTAATATATTTGTGTTTTTGTATGACTTGCAATCTATAATATACAGAAGTCATCAATTTTTGAATCATGTCTTAGGACAACGTATATAACGTAATACTGCATAACCGAGACCACGAAAAACCAGAAAAAACATCATCAATACGAGAGTATTTACCCAAAGCGGTGATGTCGAATTTTGCGCCTTTAAAATCTCCTTATACGATATAAATGCGGTAGCATTGTTTTTACAAACCTCATAACTGCTTGGATAACTGCATCTGAAAAGGGCAAATGATAAATATAGCAAGAAAATGTAATAAATAGGATCTAATAATCATTCTTTTAAGGAATTTTATTATTTACTCAATCGGTCGACCTTCACGAAATTCTAATATTTGCATATTTTGATAGGCATAGTGTATCATCGATGTGTACCGAATCCAGTTAAGATATTCAGGTATACGCGTAGTTAAATAACCGCCAAATAACTGCGTAGCCAGTGTGTATAGTGCACTCAATGTTATGCTGACATTCATATCCATACAACATGCTCCTATAAAAAATCCTACACTCTGAGCCACTATGGTGTTGAGTAATAAAAAAATCAACATCAAAGAGAATAGCTTCAAACTAAAGTAAACGCATCAGAAAAAATGATGACAATGATAAGATACCAAGAATTTGTACGTTTTTTACCTGGAACATCCCAACATTGGATACGATATTGTGAGATAAACAGTCGGTAATGTTACAACTAAAGGCAATTCACCAAACATTTTCGCCAAATAATAAGCGGATAACCTGTAGGATCCTGAACGTCTTTCTTTATTGATAACTTCACGCTCTGATGGAACTGAAATCATTTTAACACGTTTTTGATTACATTGCGTTAGTTCGTAATCAAATGGATTTGAACTTACATGAATTTAATGCTCCGAAAAGGGCAAACAGCATCCAGTAGGTTTGCGAAAAGAACATCCAGCCTTGTAAATCGTGTAGGTATTCTTCGGTGCGTGGAATGTTAAACCAAATAGCACCAGCCATTAACGCTAAACCAACTGTTTGAAACCAATTTAGCTTGGAAAGCATTCGCGATTTGGCCTCTTTGAAATTGCGATTGGATAGCACACAAAATTGTGCACAAAATCTTGTAGGATAATCTAGCCAATCGCAACTATGACTGTCGCTCGATAGAGAACTAAAATTTGATTGAGAATCACCGCCACACCACAATTGCTCGGTTGCTTCTTCGCATGGACTCTGATTCATTAACACATGATGATCGACATGCTGCTGTTGATCTTTATAATAATTATTAATAATATCATTAATTAGGGCATCATGTTGTCTGCCGCTCTTTTCAATTGCCATTCCTGCCGAATCATTCTGTATCATTTTATTATTATTAAAAGCATTTTTCTTATGATTTGAGCATGCGATACAATTGCGATTTAAAAAATTCCCATGAGATTCTCGTGCTGCTATAAATAATTTCTCTCGCACATCTGGATGAGATTTTAACTGTTCCACTGCATGCAAAAAGTAAATCATCGAATAAATATAAAAAGATGATATGAATACGTTTTATTATATATATGGCGCTATTCATAGATTCATTACTCACATACAAATTCGGCGGGATTGTAATGTGGTTCAATAACCACACCAATATCTTCAAAATATCTATAAATGCTATTCACCTCACCGAAATACGCCATGTCGCCATTGTAAAGCAACAATAACTTATCGAACATGTGAAACATCTGAGACGAAGGTTGATGAACGGTTATCACAACAGTTTTAAGCTCTTGTAACGCGTAACGTTTGAGGACTTTCATTAACGATATTGCAGAATGACTGTCTAGTCCAGATGTGGGCTCCTAATTTCATTTAAATATTTAATTGAATAATTTGCAAGAAGAAAAAAGAAAAAAACACTGAAATCTGCATTATCTCTAAGAAGTCTTATGTATATATTTTTCCTTTTGCAAAAATTCAATTTTGCAAATACGTCGTGCGCAAACACTTGTACTCACATCTAAGAGCATTAGTAGAGGATTTGTAAGCAATTCGCAAGCAATATTGGCCCGTTTCTTCTCACCGCCGGATAAGCCTCGATTCATGTAATCACCGAATTTCGTATGCTGACAAAATGTCAAATCCAATGCTTCTAAAATGCCATCAACTAAAGTGATTTTCTGAGATTTGGGCATTTTCTCAGGGAGACGCAATAATGCCGTATACCAAACAGTTTCTCGGAGTGTAAGGCCAGAAAAAAAAATTTCCTCCTGGAGAACATAACATATCTTTCTCCTCCACTTTTTTGATAACGGCTCACGGTTTAAAAATATAGCACCGCTATCTATGTGACGTTGTCCGCTCAAACAATCTAGTAAGGTAGTCTTACCGCTGCCTGAAGGACCCATAATGGCCAAAACTTCACCAGGGCTAAAAGAGTAACACAAACAGAAATATATAATTTTAAAAGGAGTTATGGTCAGATTAGGCTGAACTTTTTAATACCCAGAGCAGGGGCTTATTTCATTTTATTGTCTTATAAGAGTTTAAAGATAACTTTGTAAAGTAAAACAGGTTCTCCGTTTTAAATATGCGTGAAATTATGGTGATCGCGGATGTGACTTTGATTCGATTTAGGGGGCTCCTGAAATTCGCACGGATGTTTCACTACGAAAAATTTTAAAGCGGCATTTAAAGATTAAAATCAATATCTTTACGGTTTTTCCGTCATAATGTAGGGCGATTCAATGTTCGACTGACTTTTCTGCTTTTGGCACATAATTTAATAATGGCCGTAATAAAAAAGGGAGATCACGTCTTTTCTTGTCACACATCGCTCACAAAACGGCCTCAGTCCGACTCTTTTCTTTCTGGATAGCATCAATCTTTTCATGATATTCTGGCAGTTAATTTACAAGTTACAGTTGTTTTAGTCAGGCTAGTTTTGGAAGCAATGGAAAATTATGAATTTTTTTTGCTGATTGAAAGTTCCGAAAAGTGAAGTTCGTGACATGGCTAATACTTTAAAAATATCAAAGGGCGACTTATGCACCATTTTGCATGAACATGTATATACATATATATAGGCGAAAGAAAATGGATTTTTTCATGGGACATGTGGCAATGGAAGAAACATGAAATCATCACTACAAGCGAGTGGACAACAACCGCCGAAAAGCCATTCAAGCCGACTGGCGTACGTAATTTGGGACGACCATGATATAATATTAATCGACAGATTTAAAAACGGGGCAAAGGATCAATGGTAAATATTACGTAGCATTATAAGTGTGTTTAAACGATGAAATTGCAAAAAACAGCAAATCAGACCGAAGACTTATTGAGTGATCTATTAGATAAAGTTTCGAGTTTAATTAGCGGATCGACAGACAAATATAGCGCAGTCAATTCCTCTACGAACGTTGACCAATTACGCATACGTTTTGTGGGAACTCATAGGGATTGGATAAATTTAATATGCGCACTGCAAAAGGTATAAAAAATTTAGCATCGACAAACTTACTTACACCAATAGTATACTCTGATACACATATTTAAGTTCCTTACCTGACCGTGCCGCTAACATCGTTTAGTATTTTGCGTTCCTGATGCAATATAGTGACATCCTGAAATGATAACTGCAAAGTGCGCGGCGAATCTGTTATAAACGGTATAGTTACCGTTATACTTTCACCTCTGAAATCAAATGATATTCGACACATTATCAAAGCAAGTAAATAAAAAAATTAATATTAAAAAGATTTTAATTAATAATTATACAAGACAAGATAAATAACTAATCTATTTAGTTAACGTTAACTAAGGAGCCAACTCACAGTAATCGACAGTGCGAAACAAATTTTAAAATCTTATAGAAGTAATTAAGATTCGTTAAAAGTAGTCTAATAATATTTCTAAATTAATAATGAAAAATGAGAAAATTTAATAATACTCTACATATCTACAGACTAGACAGGATATGAGACCACCATCGAACATCGAACCAGTTTACCGACTAATTGAATTTAACTTCGGCAGATGGTTTTGTTTTTATTAATCACTCGACAATCGGGTATAGAATGCGTAAATATTAACTTATCCGAATAATGTCGCGATGCTGCTTAGAGAAATTTATTTTGAGGCTGGAGTCAAAAATTGAAGACAGTCGGATGTATAAATGTATAAGGATCCAACGACATAACCGATATGATTGACACAGAAGCCACTTCCAGTTTCAATTTTGAAGAAACACTAGTTTTAGCTTTCACCTGCAATAACCGCGCTGTATAAATTGTTTCTAAGGGCATGGCAAGATCGTGTTTAAAATCTTCTTTATCTCCAATTGTTAAGTAATCCTCGCCGTGCACACGGCGTATTTGTACCAAGAAGGCGTTCGTCTTTTTGCGAAACGAGCCAATGATTCTCATAAGCTTCAGGCAATTTTCTTATCGCATACTTCTTTTAAAAGATTCTTATAAAATGTAAGTCGTTCGTTCTTCTCAAAACTGGTCTGCTTACGGTGAAAGCATGTAAAGTAAAATAAATTTTTCTATTTGTAAATTAAACGTAAGGAATAAGTATACAAACTGTCCATTATATTCGCAACGTTGTTTATGCGAGGAAGGCACTGTAGCAACTTAAACAAAGATGCGTTTTTTAGCTCCTTTTAGCTTACGAAGGTTATTAAGGCTATATCTGAGTATAAAACAAGACATTTTTAAAGAATATTTAGAAATGGCAAGGCCGTAGCCTTTACCACTTGGAATCTATAATCTAAGGGCCTCTTGCTTGGATGCACTTTGGAGCAAATTTCAGTGCAAAGTGTATTAATTTTTGTGTGAGCACAGAAGAGAGAATTCGAGTAGAAAAGTTCAATGTTTTATTGATCTATTGTAAATCCCCTACTTAATGCTCTAGAGAATGTTATTTTAAAGAAACTGCAAAAAATTCGAACGAAAAGGACAGAAATTGCAAGAAATGTTGCTTGGATTTTTCCCAAAGATCGTATCTCGAGAATGATTATGATTTTTTTAAAAATAAACTTTTTATTGTGTTTTACTACTAGTCTGAAAATCTCTGATGATCAAATATTCCCCTTTAGTGGACAACTTTATGTTGAAAAGTGCTGCATCTGCGGCATCAACGGCAGAACGGCACGTTTTGCTTGATAGCAACAGCAAAAAATTTATAATTCAGTAGCCGTTCTCATAGCCAACATCAACGTCGGAAAGTTCACGCCAAGCTTTTAATTTCCTGACAGCAGCGTCAAAAGACGAAGCATTTACTCTCAATCCCAGAAATCGTGTCAATGAAGCTGCAGGGTCGTACCCCCCTTTGGAATCGCTGTTAAATGAATACAAGAACTTTTATAAAAATATCTCTTAGTTGTAGTAAGAAATTGTCCGGTAAGACTTTCAATCTCAACTTTTCAGCAGAGACCTTTTTGAGCCTTGGCAGTTTTCCTTGAGCGCTTAGGGATAACCCCAAAATTTCAATGAAAAAAATTATTTCAGATAAAATTTTTTCCACATATTTTAAAAGCTTTAAAGAATTAATTATTAACCAAATGAAAAGAAAAATTTCTGAAAAAAATAATGAAAAATGAGAAGTAAGACAATTTTATTCGATGATGCTTAAGTCTTTTATGCCCAACAATGTTAAAAATAAAATCAAAAATTAAACTTTCATAATCAATAACTCTTTAATTCTCTATGACAACGCTAGAATAAATGTGGAAATGCTTATATTATTTGTTTTAATTTGTTACTAGCACACGAAAAGGGAAGGTGTTCTGGTTGGGCCATTTTCAACTTCTTCTGCAAATTTATGTGTCTTCTAATGTCTTCATTTTTGCGAACAAGAGAATTTTTACCCTAGATACTATGCATGTGGACGGAGGGACGGATGGATGGAAAAACAAATGCACCTGTTTAGGCGTCTTCCAAATGTGGCATTTGTCAAGAATGCATATAGTTTGTTTTGGCGCTTACGGCGGTGTGGACGTAGCGGAATTTTCTGACAAATTTTTACGGTTGCAACCTGTGGCGGTTTATAAATAATTAACAAAAACCGCAATATTTTCAGCTTTTAAAGCCGACTATGTTGTAAATTTATGTTATACTGTAGTCATGCCCTTTTACTAACTCGGTTCACTTTCTAAAATACCAGCTTCCATGCGAAAACTTTCAATGTTCATGTCAAGTTTGAACTTGATCTATCTTAATTTTTGTGACTCGGAGGTCATTTATCACACACAGATACACAGACGAATGGATATACTTGAGCAGCGGGGTGGATAAAAACCGCGACTATTAACCCAGAGTCCACCGATTTAAAATTTAAGCGCGATAGAGTTTACTTTGCCCATAGCTATGGTTGCCGGTTGGGCGGCATAAACATAATACTTAACGATTGGCCACCTGACCGCTAACCTGAGACCGCCACATCCCTTTCTATCTTTTTCTCTTTCCTCACTTCTCTCGGACCTTAAAAAAAAAATACTCTCAAAAGTTCAAGAAGATATGTGCTTTATAGGATCATTAGAGACTTCCTTCTGCCTACTGTAAACGTTTTATGTACACACGTTTGCTTCCAAACCTTGCGGGTATAAAAAATTTAATACAAAGTTTATACATTAGTTATAGATTAGCTATTAGCCGCTATTAGATCAAATTTAATCTAATCGAATTTGCAGAGAACTTTCGATGATTTTTGAACTTGAATTGATGATGAATGACCTTAAATATGAAAGGTTGATGACATTCTAGACTCAAGTTCTTGCCCCAATTTTTCAACGTAACGTTTTCGGCTTTTAATCATAGCTCTATAAAGGCAGGGAGGGGGGAAGGCAGGACTTTTAAACGCAGCTAGATAAAGTCAGGAAGAAAGGGTAGATAGACGAATGGATGGAATAGTTATATGTTAGAATAAGAATATTTTCATATGCGTAGCCAAAGACAATATCCCCAAGGTAATAAGGAAGGAGAGATAATGATAAAGTGTTTTTATATAATTCAAACACATTCTCTTCCAACAAAAAAAAAAAAATTATACCAAAAAAATGTAAATATTCGCAGAGCTACAAAGAAAATATTAGGAAGCGTGAAGATAGAGAAGTCGCTCCCTATAACTTTTCATTAACGGTAAGAACGCAACACTTCGTAACTCTCATTTACTACATTTTTTAATAAATATTTCAATGAAAATCGAAGATGGAGGCAAGTTCATAATTGCAGACCTAATATGACATATGCCACAAAGCATGCTATTCATCCATGTATTGAAGTTTAATGAAAGCGAGGAAACATAATTTCCACGCGTAATTATCATCACATTTCTAAGAAAAGTAGTCAAGTGAGAAAGTGTTTTCTTCACTAGTTGAGAAATTTATACGGGAACTATCACAGTGATTTCGTCTTTTTTTTTTTTCTTTTTTTTTTTTGCAATGAATTTGTAATTTTGTCTTCATCATCGGTTTGTTTTTTTTTTTCCTTTCGAGTCACTTGAATTAATTTAACACATAGACATACAGAGACAGTGGCATTATAACGGTTAAAAAACCAGTCTTAGTATCTATGAACATACATATATCATCGAGATATCTAAAACACAATCGTACGCACCCATAGATCTAAAAGCTATACAGGCTTTGCGATATTACTTGCAACAATTTTTTCGTGCAGCACTTCCTTCAACAATACGAATAACACAAAAAAGCCTACATACACATCTTCCCATTTTTATATAGATTGTTGTTGTATGTACATATATGCACTGTAAACATGCACGCGTCTACATAGTACACACAATTATCGCAAAACGCATTTCGAATCATTTATTGTAGAGAGCATTCATATATGTGTACAGCTTTAGTAAGTACTTCGACCAAGTGCCACTTGACTCGTGTTTAATATTTTACGGCAACACATTAATCTGGATTGTCGTCTTTATCAAAGGGCATTTCGTGAGTATTCAAGTAAAGTTGAAATATTTAGAGATACTGAACGCATTAAAACTCTACATTAATTAATACATAATAGACTATAGAAGAGAGAAGTTTCGGTAAATATTCTCTATATAGTGAACGCATATCAATACGGAGAGGGAAGATTATTGTATTTTCTTTCCTGACAAACCAATACATATATATATTGGGTTGGCAAGAAATAAATTTCGCAATTTTAAATTTATTTTTGAAAATAAATAACATCTTATAAGAACTCGATAAGAAATAATATTCAATTTTTGGTGCTTCTACGTGGCACTGAAAGATGGAGGGTGCTTAAGCTAAAACGTGGTTGTCGGGTAAAGCAAATAGTCGGCTTTGTTGCGTTACAACACTATGTCGAATATAATTTTTAATCTATTTTTCTCGTAGAATATCAAAAATTATACATATTATCGGAGTACAAGGGATTATATTGAAAAGATTCAAGAAATAGATCTATGCGATCACCGTAAATGCGTAGGTCCGATCAATATTTTATAGTAATAGTAAACCAATATGATCGCGTAAAGTGGTGATGGTCATAAAGAATGGAGGAAAAAGAAAGAAAGAAAGAAAGTAATAAGGAGGTGGTGGCTGCAGCCGAAAAGTTTATGCCCAATCGATAAGTCTTACGCCTTGACCGACTGAGCGCTCACTATAGCTACCAAGACCAAAGTCAACTCTGCCGTAGTGACTTTTGAATCCGCAA